TTATCTTATCTCTCAGTCTAAGTATACTATGGATGTCATTGAGCGTGCTCGTCTTACTGATAATAAATCTGCTGATACTCCTCTTGAGTCCAATGCTCGATATTCATCCTCTGATGGTGTCCCATTGACTGATCCCACTTTGTATCGCACTATTGTTGGATGTCTAGTTTATCTTACCATCACACGTCCTGATATTGCCTATGCTGTTCATATTGTTAGTGAATTTGTTTCAGCTCCTACTACAGTTCATTGGGCAGCAGTTGTTCGTATTTTGCGTTATCTTCGTGGTACATGCTTTCAGAGTCTTTTGTTTCCATCAACCTCATCCTTAGTGCTCCGTGCCTACTCTGATGCTGATTGGGCCAGCGACCCTATTGATCGCAAGTCCACTACGGGTTTTTGTGTATTTTTGGGTGATTCACTTATCTCTTGGAAAAGTAAGAAGCAGATTGTTGTTTCCCGCTCCTCTACAGAAGCAGAATATCGAGCTATGGCATCCACCACCACTAAGATTGTGTGATTGCGATGGTTACTTGCAGACATGGGTGTTTCTCATTCCTCCCCAACTCCCATGTATTGTGATAATACTAGTGCCATTCAGATTTCTCACAACTCTGTGTTCCATGAACGCACAAAGCATATTGAGATTGATTGTCATCTGGTTCGTCATCATCTGCAGACTGGCACCATTTCCCTACCTTTTGTTTCTTCATCGTTGCAGCTTGCTGACTTCTTCACTAAGTCTCATCCAATTCATCGTTTTTGCTTTTTGCGTGACAAACTCTCGCTGCTTCTTGCTTTAGCATCTTGAGTTTGAGGGGGAATGAAAACGTGTGTTATATTTAGTTATTTACTTATATTTAGTTATTTATTTTAGCATATGTAATTTCCATTTATTGTAAGTTTCCTATTATTTTTAGGTTTCCTTGTAGTAGTATAAAACCTGTTTTATACTTTCTTTGAAAACTTAATTGATGGCTTAATAGATTTTGGTTCCCTCTTTATTCTTCTTCTCTTTCTCTTCTCTTTTCTTCCTTTTGAATTGATTCAACATATTGGTTTGAGATTCATTATATTGTTATCAGTTTGTAGTGCACTGTTTACAAATATCATTACTCCAAATTTATAGGCAAATGTGACAATTAACTTACTTCTACATAGACTATGATAGGTAAGCACCGCTTACAAATAACATTATTTATCTTTTTAGGTATCATACGTCTAGCACAAACATATATATACGTAAATATGTGCACACATACGTAAACATGTGCAACAGCACATCACAGTAAGAACCTATACTATTGCAAATGGAAATGACAGCTTACTTGATTCTCCATTTCGAAAAGGAAAGAAAAGAAAAGGGAAATTCCTCGCATAATGTAGAATTTACATCTACAATGTTTTTGGAATGTTTGAAATGTTGGGCAGCCACAAGATACTAAAAATGATCATTACTCAAAAAGAGATGGGAAGGAAGGATAATAAGTGAAATGTGACTTTGATCATCCTCAATCGTCATAATCTTTTTGTTCGCTTTAGTAGAATGCTGGCTTCACTTAACGAATATAGTTTCCTGGATTTCACTTCAAAAATGCATTGCTAAATCCTTGATCGTTTGGTTTGTCCTCTTCCTCTTAACTCCTGCAATAACAGAAACTATGTATGAATTGGAGCTTGCAACGAAATATAAACAAAATGGGCCACGGAAGTAGTCAACCACAAGCTTAGAGCGATTGACCTGATCAACAATTTTCTCGACCTAGTAGATAACTGAGCTACGAGTCTCTAATCGAACTCTAAGCCTAGACCTGTATTGGTAATGGACAACTAGATGGAAATCCGCAGAACAATAATGTCATCCTCGTCAAAATTATACATGTCATTCTATAGAAAAATTAAATCTACATTTACCATAAGAGGTGTTTTGAAGATATGAATAAATTAATGTTTTTCTCTTTAACATTTTTAACAGGAATGAGCTTTAATGATTTAAAAATATATGAGCTGCTTGCTGTAACACATTAAATATCTATCATGGGTCAAAAAACACCCAACCTCCTCTTCCTTCACCCGTTCCCTCAAAATAAGTATGTATATCAAGTATAGTAAGAGGCAGGAGAAGGCGAAAGAAGGGGAATTCCCCGGTATTCGTTACCAAAAGGGAAAATCAGGGCATATGTTTCCTCTCTTTTATGCTCGAGTTAATGGAAGGGAAGAGACGCTTGTCCCCTTGGTGAAAAAGAAAAACAAACACCTTAGCAACTTTCACAACAGAAGAAAAAGGAGGAAAATCGTATTAACTATAATTACTTTCAATTAATTTCAATAAAATTTACATAAAGCCCAATTTTTACAGGATAATTCTTCATGAAATCCTAATTTACCAATTCAATTAAATCACTTTGAATTCAAGCATTTTACAAAATAGCCCAAACACAAATTAATGAAGGAAGATTGTTTGTTAGCTCTCACCTTGAATCCAAAATCCAGTTTTATGTGATAGTGCTTACTCATTGTCTTCCTCCTACATTAATTAAAACAAATTAATAAGTGGTTTCCAAGTTTTAAGTACAAAAAAGTTGTATAGCTTAATCCCAACTAACGTCTCCACTGCTCTCATCGTCCTCATCACCATTAATCTCAGACTTTGACTTGTCAGACTCATCATCAGCACCTCAAGCCTATAAAAATAGTATGGCAAATCATTTCAGTATTGCAGTAAAAATAAACACTATATAACACTATGCTTCTCATAGATGGATTACCAAATTCTTATTGTAGTCTACCATTTATGCTCATATTCCTACTCTTGTGTCTCTGCCTTTTGCACAAAAGGAATTTTTTCTTTATTTTTATCATGACGTTAGGAAATTTCTCTAGAAGAAGAATTAGATATAAACAATATCTTGGATTGCATAGAGTTACCTCATCACTCATGAACTTCACTTATCTCCTCTAGCTTTTCCAATATATATTATTATTTATTCCCAAAAGGAAAACCTGAAATTATAAAGAAAATTTTCGTGAATACTCCAAGTTCAAATTGCCTGCACTAATCATTTAAGCTTCAAAGAAAATTAAAAAAGAACGACGAACTCACAACAATTGATTTGTTGTTTGGATATTTTTCCTTGTACTATTTCCTAAACCCTTCCCTGAAAACACAAACGACATGAACAGATTAATGGTCGAATTAACCTTTTGCTAAACGGCATAAAATCAGTCTAGAAAAATATACAGAAAAGGTAGAGACACCAAAAATGCAAATGGGGCATACATGAAAACAAAAAAGCACTAGGGAGGCGTCCTTGGCTTGTGTGGATCCTTCACTTTCTTTTCCTTCTTGGCCTTCCTCACAGTAAGCCTAATATTCATTGCAAAATTAATCACAGATAGCTATAGCATCAAACAAAATCTGATAAACAAAAAATAAAAATAAAAAATGCACACAAAAAGTAACAAAAAAACACAGACTAGTTAACCAATACATAAGAGGCTAACTGTCCAAGTAATTTGAAGTATTTTTCTTGATGAAAATAAAAGCCACTGCACTCAATCTGACAAACAAATGGTGATTTAGAGGGGAAACCAAAATCCTAAACCATAATGAGGATTTTTACTTTGTTATCCCAGACAATGCCACACTGAGTGCGGTGAACCATGTCGTATGACAAGGATTGAAAGGGGAGCTGTCTTGAGATAAAGTTGCCAATGATTGCCAAGAGACCTCTCTCAAGGGCCGGTTGAACATCAACAAAATCACATGAAAAAGGATTTTTGCCCAGTCAAGACAGTTTTCACAGACAAAACAAATTGTTTGACCATTACAGAAGGGAACCCCCAACAGGAAAAATTCATTTTGAGAAATAATCAGAAAAATATTACTAAAATCATGAAACAAAAAAGGCAACTGAACATAGCTTCAGTCACATATCCTACCATATAATTTCACTGTGGCATTTACACAATGTGTGTGTGTGTAGTGAAAATGCAGAAAGTATATCGAAAAAGAAACTTACTTTAAGATCTAATAGAAGAGGCACCTTCATTCCATCTCGCGTTCTTACAAGTAATCAGAAAATGCCTACAAATAATTAGTTCCATTCAAATGAAGTAAGAACTTCCAATCTACAAGAAAGGTTTAAAAAATGCACAACACACATTAAGCTCAAAAATGCATAAACATATAGTAAGTCAAATAAACGCATTTCCAGTTTCCTAAAGAGGATCGAAGCAAAATATTAATTTAACCACATATTCCATCCAAGTTAAAGGTAATTAATTGAACAAACAACTATCACTCCCATTTATCCATTTGATAGAATTTTACTGTTAATAGAACACATAAAAGGTGAGGAGAGAGAGGCTGATTTTAGTTCCATAGCCAATCAATTACTTGATTGTTGGTACATCGGCTCAGATATTGATTTTTACCGCACAGCAGTAGCACACATATGAGACACAGAGTAGCATGACACTTGAACAACCATTACAGAATGTGTAGATTCACTATTAGATGCAGAAAATTCACATTCTGATATGAAAAAAATTGACGAAATGTCGGAAGGTGTGCTGCATGAAATGATGTTGAGATTCATAGGTATGAAATTGAATCTGTTACCTTGCGTAATTGAATTCATGGAAATGAATCATGGATGGAATAAAAATCAATTTCGACGTCGGGAATGTCAGCAATGATGGGCCAGTATTTTCCTTTGTTCCTCAAACACCGTTTCTTAAGAAGTGGGCAGTCTCGAATCCAAAGGCTCGAAAGCTTTTGAAGCTGGTCTTCCAAAGGCAACGCCACAAGCTTCGGGCATCTGTAGATGTGTAATTGTTGGAGAGAGGTGAGGTTTTGGAAGCCCTTTGATAGGATTTTCAGATTCGGCAGGTCAACCAACTCCAACTGAATTAGAGATGGAGGCAGAACACAGTGTTCTTCGTCAGCATTGTTAGTGAAGGAAACCAGCTCTGGACATCCACCAAAACAGAAGTTTTTAAGAAAGGTGAGTTTTTGTAGGTTCCACTCCCCCAGGGGCTTTAGTTTCTTCCCGCAATATTTGATATCAAGGTGAGACAGATTTGGGGGAATATTATCTTGGGGAAAGATTTCCATCAATGAGGAACAATCATTCACCTCCAGATACAAAAGGGACCAAAGTAGTTCCATCCTATCAGGTAAGGACTTGAGACGTCGACAACCTCTTAAATTTAGTATTTTTAAATTTGGCGTGGGAAAGCCTCCATGGGGAAAACACTCTAGACCATCACAAGACCATATGTATAGTTCAGTGAGACTTTCGTAATTGTGGCTGGAGCCTAGTAAATTTGTTAAATTCAAATTCACCCAATGCTTAACAAAAACAGATGTGAGTGAGGTGCTGCAATCTTGTAGTTTCATCATTGTCTCTAAAGATGGACACTCTCTGATAAATAACTCCTCAAGACAAGATATTGTAGTAGGCAACAACTCTAGATCTCCGCATTGTTCTACCGTAAGTGTCCTAAGATCAGGAAGAGCATCAATTTCTTGAAGGGACAATAGCGAAGGACAACTTTCAACAACCACTTTTCTTAGATTGACTAGGTTTCGTGCAGTACTATCACTTGGAAATAGAGTCACAAGGTCGTCACATCCAATAACTTCAAAACTTTCAAGTTTAAAAGGAAACTGTAGAAATGCATTGATAACTGAAGTTAATCCAAAAATTCTAGTCAATCGTATTTGAGTTAAAGATTCCAAATTCTGCAAATGATTTAGGACTACCTCATTACACTCTGTAGCTTCTAATTCACCAAGGGAAGGCAGTAAGAGATTTGGAAGCCTTGCCAATTTTGAACAACAACTTATCTTCAACTTGCGTAGCCGAGGAAGTTCGATAACACCTTCTATTCCATGCCATTCCTCCCAGTTACACATGTCCTCAAAAGTCAGACTAATGAGCGATGGAAAAGGTAATTCTCCATGGCTTCTTTTTCCATAAAATTCAGCTCCAATCACTTTTACTTGACCAATGCCTCGAAGGCTCAAGTCTCTTAGCAAAGGTAGTTGCCCTAATGGTGGCAAAGTTGTGCAATTTTCACAAAATTCGAAGCTTATCTTTGCTAACTTATGGAATGCTGAATCTCCAATCCAATTAGAGAAATTCTCGCCCCCGAAATACTTAATTTCAAGTGTTGATAAGTTTTCATGGGGCTTTAATGCATTAAGCACATCCAATTCAAAAAATTTATTCCGGGAATCATCAAAGACTTCATTCCATTGCAACCTTATTTTGTTAAGGCTTGGCTTTTCCATTAGCCTCGCATCCATTGCTTCTTGAACATTCACAACATTTTGCAATTCCTCAATAGAAATTTCACCTTGTAGAAATGATAGATTGCCCAAGTCCTTTAACCCCATTCCTTTATTTTTACTTGCAGTCATCTTAGTTAATGTTCGCAAACTGGTTAGTTGAGCAATTCCATGAGGCATTTCATGCAATTTAGGAGTATCTGCAATGTCCAGATGCCGAAGATTAACAAGATTTTCCATGCTCATCGGTAATTTGGTAAGATTCCAACAACCTCTTATAATCAACACTTGTAAGTTGATAAGAGTGCACACAGATTTAGGCAACCACTTCAGTAAAGTTTGAGCTAGGCCTAGGTATCGTAGATGTTGTAAATCACCAATAGAATCTGGCAACTCATAAATTGAATAACCATTCAAGGATAGCACTCTTAAGCGGTACAAATATGGTAATAGGTGAAGCAAAATTCTTTGGGATAAGTAATTTGAATACGCATCAACAGGTAGTGGCAAAAAAGTTCTCAATTTTTGAACTTTGTCGAGAAAGTTAAATCTAGGGTAAGTTTCATACTGTTTGCGCTTGAATGACAAGTGACGGACCCTAGCAGAAACCTTACCAGGAAGATTTTTCTCCATTGCATCATCCATCCTCAAACATTTACCACCAGCAACAGACATAGCTAGATCGTTAAAGAGGTCGTGCATCACAAAGCGTGAAGTATTGTCACTTGATTGTTGGAAGAACGGTCTAGCCATCAGTTCATCAAAATATTGACTGCCTACTTCTTCAATTAACATATCTTCGTTTGATTCCTGCACAAGACCTTCAGCCATCCAAAGGTAAACTAGATTGAACTTTTCAAACTCATGGTCCTTGGGAAAGAGCGCACAGTAAGCAAAGCATCTTTTCAATTGTGGAGGAAGATAGTGATAACTCAGTTTTAGAGCAGGAAGAATTCCACTCATTTCTTCATCAATCCAGATCTTACTTTTCAACACATCTTCCCAAACTTCAGGACCATCTACCATGCGAAGAATCCCCCCAACAGCTTTCACTGCCAGTGGCAACATCTTACATCTTCTTACCACAGACTTACCAATCTCTATTAAATCTGGATGTCCGTCAAAAGTTTTGGCTCCAAATGCATAATGAGCTAACAATGATAAAGCATCGCCCTCTGATAACATATTCAGATGGTATGCAGGAATTCCAGACATGATTTTGGCGACCCTTTCTTGTCGAGTGGTAATGATGATTGTGCTTCCAGGTTTTCCAGCAAGAAAAGGACGGCGTAGGAAGTCCCAATCTTCATAATTTTCATTCCATATATCATCTAAAACTTCCAGAAATTTCTTGTTTGAAAGGCTTTCCTTTAGATTGGCCTGAAGTATGTCAAGATTTTCAGAATCACACTTTCCATCAGAAGAAACTGCCCTCAGAATGTTTTTCGTTACTCTTACAGCATCAAAATCATCAGAAACGCAAGCCCATGCCTTCAGATCAAACTTGTCCTTCAATCTTTCATCATTATACACAAGTTGGACCAGAGTTGTTTTGCCGACACCTCCCATGCCTACAATTGGAATCACAGATATTTGACTATCATTTGATTCAACACCAAATACGATTTTGAGTATTTCCTCTTTATCCTTCTCTCTTCCATAAACTTCCAATTCTTCCAAAAGCGAAGTTGTTGGCAATCTTTTCAATTGTGGAGGAAGATAGTGATAACTCAGTTTTAGAGCAGGAAGAATTTCACTCTTTTCTTCATCCATCCAGATCTCACTTTTCAACACCTCTTCCCAATCTTCAGGACCATCTGCCACGCGAAGAATCCCTCCAAGGGCTTTCACTGCCAGGGGCAACATCTTACATCTTCTTACCATAGACTTACCAATCTCTATTAAATCTGGATGTCGGTCAAAAGTTTTGGCTCCAAATGCATGTTGAGCTAACAATGATAAAGCATCGCCCTCTGATAACATATTCAGATGGTATGCCGGAATTCCAGACGTGATTTTGGCGACCCTTTCTTGTCGAGTGGTAATGATGATTGTGCTTCCAGGTTTTCCAGCAAGAAAAGGACGGCGTAGGATGTCCCAAACTCCATAATTTTCAATCCATATATCATCTAAAACCACCAGAAATTTCTTGTTTGAAAGGCTCTCCTTTAGTTTTTTCTGAAGCGTGTCAAAAAATTCATAATCACACTTTCCACCAGAAGAAACTGACTCAAGAATGTTTTTCGTTACTCTTACAGCATCAAATTCATCAGAAACGCAAGCCCATGCCTTCAGATCAAACTTTTCCTTCAATCTTTCATCATTATACACAAGTTGGACCAGAGTTGTTTTGCCGACACCTCCCATGCCTACAATTGGAATCACAGATATTTGACTATCATTTGATTCAACACCAAATACGACTTTGAGTATTTCCTCTTTATCCTTCTCTCTTCCATAAACTTCCAATTCTTCCACAAGCGAAGTTGTTAGCAATCTTTTCAACTGTGGAGGAAGATAGTGATAACTCAGTTTTAGAGCAGGAAGAATTTCACTCTTTTCTTCATCCATCCAGATCTCACTTTTCAACACCTCTTCCCAATCTTCAGGACCATCTGCCACGCGAAGAATCCCTCCAAGGGCTTTCACTGCCAGGGGCAACATCTTACATCTTCTTACCATAGACTTACCAATCTCTATTAAATCTGGATGTCGGTCAAAAGTTTTGGCTCCAAATGCATGTTGAGCTAACAATGATAAAGCATCGCCCTCTGATAACATATTCAGATGGTATGCCGGAATTCCAGACGTGATTTTGGCGACCCTTTCTTGTCGAGTGGTAATGATGATTGTGCTTCCAGGTTTTCCAGCAAGAAAAGGACGGCGTAGGATGTCCCAAACTCCATAATTTTCAATCCATATATCATCTAAAACCACCAGAAATTTCTTGTTTGAAAGGCTCTCCTTTAGTTTTTTCTGAAGCGTGTCAAAAAATTCATAATCACACTTTCCACCAGAAGAAACTGACTCAAGAATGTTTTTCGTTACTCTTACAGCATCAAATTCATCAGAAACGCAAGCCCATGCCTTCAGATCAAACTTTTCCTTCAATCTTTCATCATTATACACAAGTTGGACCAGAGTTGTTTTGCCGACACCTCCCATGCCTACAATTGGAATCACAGATATTTGACTATCATTTGATTCAACACCAAATACGACTTTGAGTATTTCCTCTTTATCCTTCTCTCTTCCATAAACTTCCAATTCTTCCACAAGCGAAGTTGTTGGCAATCTTTTATAACACCTCACCTTCACATTCTCCGCCAAACTGAGTATTTTTTTTTGTTCCTCCAGAACTTTCAACCGGCCACTAATCTCTTTTACCTTCTTGGTACTGCCTTTATTTTTCCTTAATTTGCGCTGCAAAACTTCAGTGTTCAACTCATCCACAAAGTCTTCAAGATCATAAGCCAAATCATCCAGATCGTCCAGCCACTCTTTCACAGCTTTGTTTGTTGTTTGCTTGTTTTCAGCATCAGTAAGCACGGCCTGGATACTCAACAAAGTTGTATGCCATTCTTTCAGCTTGGCATCGATTCCTACACGACGCAGAAATTTCGGCGGGTTAGCAGAGTCTAGCTTCTCAAGCAAAACAGAGAAAATTGAACGTTGATTAACTTCTCCGATAGCCATTGTTATCTTTTTTTGTAAGACGGGAAGCAAGAGATCAAAGAGATGAATGCAAGAGAGATTGAAAGTCGCCTACTGGTCAATGGACTCAATTATACTACAAGAAAATGTGTGCATATAAATTTTTGGGAAAATTCCGCGATTCATACCAATCTATAGAGGTAGTTGCAATGTCATCCAAATGCAATTTTCTTTATGAATAGTAGTCCCCAATTAGGATAAAATCATATGTACCGAAGGGGGGTTACCGAAGCGTGTCCCCCCCCCCTCACAAACACGCGGATCCCGTGTGTATTTAATAATATTGAGCCGTGGTCCTCACCTTGATGATATGAGTGGGGGTGTAAACGATTGTGTAAATGATTATATACGTGTAGTATGATCTTTTTTTTTAATTCACGTAATTATTTTACCCTCAGTTTTATTATTCGACGCAATTTATCAAATTCTTTATAAATAAAATTTTAAATATTTTAAATATTTGGTATATTAAATTAAATAAACTCGATAGATCAAAAGAGTGATACATTTTAAACTTTAATCTTTTTGCACATACGTCGATCTCTAAAAATAATGAGTTACAATTAATAGTGATTGCTTGTAAACTGGACAGCACCACGTAAATTGTGATGTTGGTTGACGATTGTGTATATAAAAATAAATAAATTGAATGAGAACTAAATTGTAACTACTTGTATTGGTTGAAGATGAAATGTGCAATTTTCTCAATTAATTTCATAAGTGGCAGAAATGCCAGCTATGTTGAGGAAAATTTAACATTTTTTAATAGTCAAAATTAGGCAACTCCGTCGGATTAGTCAACTTCTCGTGCTTTTCTACTCCCAAAGACCGATTATTTTCGATTTTTAAGCCAAAAAAATGACCATTGGTCCATTGGAGAGGTGAATATCATTTGTTTGTTTGTTCCATCATGTCTGACATGATCTAGACAATTTTATTGTATTGTTGGGGTCAATTGCCGATTTTGCCCTCTATTCATTTTCTATAAATTATTCACATGCTGTAACGAAAGGGACAGAATGGACTTTTGACTTCGCCAAACTCGTCACTTCATGAAAATTTGCTTTATCAAAAAAGGTTTAACCTCAATCTTGAGGGCACCACGATCCCGTCTATGGAACATCGTGAAGGAAGTAAATCGTGGATGTATCGCAACAGATCAGGGAACAAGTGCTTGTTCATACATTGGTATCTACAAAGAGTCTAATTTCATATCTTATGAATCAAACCCTTACATTACTGCACCACTAGATTATGCTTCGAGGGGCGAAAATTTGCTTTATCTCTTTGCAAGTTGGGGGCCGATGAGTTGATGGGAAAATTGATTTTTTTCCAAACTAGTGCATCCAGACAGGTAATATTATTTTAAGGAGCACTATAATGTCCCGTTTGGTCCTCATTAAATTATATTTTATTTTTATTTCTCATATTTTTAATAACACAATTTTTTTATAAAATAATATTATACGTAAATCGAAAATTTTTCCTTCTTTTTCAATAACTCATTTTTTCAAAAAAAATATTATTCTACCAATTTTCATTTTGAAAAATGGGAGCCAAATACGGGGCAATATTTTGCTCTCGTGTGGGAAAACTTTTTGAGCAAGATGGAAATGAATTTTTTGACCGTTGCTGGCCCTTTTTTTCCGAAATTTTTTTGGCTTGGTTCTCGCGTTTGGACCCATTTACTGTCCAGCCAACGGGAAAAAAAGAAAAAAAAAGAAAAAAGAAAAAAAAATGACTTTTAATCCAAAGAAATTTGAGAAATCTCAAGTGATCAGCATTTGGACACGTTCATTTGGAGTCTTAATTATTGAAATGGACGTGCAAGTCCCCGAGAATCCTAAAGGTACAATGCCAACTTAACAAGGAAAAGATTATTCTTATTCTCAAGCCCTCGTTTGAAAACCTTTTTTTTTTTTTTTTTTTTTTTTTTTTTTTTTTTGAAATAATGTATTTTAAAATAATAATTTATTGGAGAACATATGATTAAAGAATAAGATTTTTTTTTTTGAATTTATGTGTAAAATTATTTTATTAAAAAATGTAGGATTGAAAATGAGTTTTGAGAATAAGTAGGCTCAAATAAAGGTTAAGTATATGATTGAGCTCATTTTCTAAAACTTCAATTTTTTACAAACTCATTTTTTATCATGCGTTTTCAATAAAATGTAAACTTCAAATATTTCCTTACATTTTAACTACACATAAAAAAAAAAAAAAACTATTACAAAAATCATTTTTTCAAAAAAAACAAGAAAAAAGAAAGAAAAAAAAGAGGACTCAGACGATGTCTAAATAATAAGAATAACGAGTTATAACGTTATTAATAGTTTCCTTCTTTTCTAGAAAGAAATTGAAACACAGTGAGACTCATTTTGGTTATAATTATTCATATTTCGATCATCTATATCTACTAAAATTCATTTATATATTCTTCAAGGTAGAAGTTACATGACTGCCAAGTTATATGACATATTGTAGACAACAAATAAATAAAACAATTGAATGGACTGGTTTGATTACTAAATAATTAGCCCATTTAAATGTTGGAGAATTACATCGATAATTGTGCATAATATATTCATAAAAACATACCATTAATTTGCGTAAAATCGAAATATAATTTTGACTTATCGAGATAGGATTTGAGAAGACAAAATAAGAATTTATCGAATTCGAATATCTGAATATGGATTCTTCCCTTTCAACTCATGATCGAAAGCAAATAATTCTTTGAATCAAACCTTGCAGGATAAACATATAAATAACGTTAATCATTTTCTGAAATTAAATCATAATAAAAGGAATCAGAAAATGAAGAAAGAAGATGCAAATGACGAATTTTTGGTTGAGGCAAGCGTTGGACATTTTGTCTTTAAGATGAATTTGCCCCGCATCGGTGCTAATGGTTCTCCGACAATCATCTCCCAAAATAAAACGACCACGTCGAGTCATAGCAGCACTCCAAATGACTTCTAACAGCGAACTCGAACAGAATTTCCTCTCTACCATGACCATGACTATGACTATGATTTTAATGCAAATGTTTTATGCAATACCAAAGTGTAAACTGGAATGTAATGATATGGTATCTATGACTTTTCTTGAATGAATGAAATTCAAATATATGAGGTCTATTTATAATAGTTGGAAATGTTTGTCAAAACACACAATCATACCAAGAGACACATCTCTTGAAATTCATAATTATTGGAAATTAATCATACCCATACCGAGAGTCATGATCCTCCATATGAAAAGACACATATTTTCATCCATATATTTCTAGAATATTTCACAATATTCTATTCAATTTTCCAATAAGTATTAAGCGGCTTTATATTTGACTTAATTTCTCATTCACCAAATAAAGATTCCACTTAAATAATCATTTAAAATTGGTCGCAACCAATTTTCGATACAAAATTACAATCCCCCATATGAATGAAAATTAATGCAAATGTCTATGCAGACACTGATAAAGAGAGAGCGAAAAATACTGCATCAGATAAGGTAGCTTCTGGTTTTGAACCTTCCTTAGTAAAATACCATTAGATTTACTAGCTAATTGGTGAACGCGGTGTTCTTGAACCATCGGCCGTTAGTGTAAACCAAGACAACAGTACTCACACAATATCTCCTATAAATCGTTCATGGTTCTCATGACTTGGTTCATTTTGGCCCTTAGAGAATTCAAGCCTTGAATAATTCTCATTGAAGTTGCCCCACTTTACATTTACATAGGTGATTTCCTATTAAAAGTATTCTACCATATTTCACTTGACTTAATCAAAATATAGGAATCATTAAAAATTTGTCTTAACCTCCAACCACTTTACAGAAAGCACTTTGGTATTATAGGAATGAGTTAGGAAATTAGTTTCCTAAGTGCTTCATGAAATCCTCATAACTTAGTTGTCCATTTGAACCAAGATCTTGTGATCTCCAATCAACATGGTAGGGTTACCATCATAAGGACTTTTACTCAATAGGCTTAATCTCATTCCCTTCGATATGCAATATACTTGATCTCTTGGTAAACATATATAAATGGATCCACAAGTTTACACCATTGAGATCAACTGCTTATGGTATTATGTCTACGACGTACATGTTTAGACTCACCATTACATGTGACTTAGTATCTTTTCAAATTTAGCTAGCCAATGATCGATTCATTTGATAGATACACATTGTCACCAACTAAGAAATTCTCTCATGAAGTTACATGCTTCTCATTAGCTTTACTTAAAGCTTTATCAATTCCAAATAATGTTGGAGGATTTCTATCAAATCGTTACACTACTCTATCATATTTACTAATGAATTTCATACATGGGTATTCAATATTATCATTAAAGCATTGCAATACATTTGAACTTTATGAATATTCTCTAATATTCCAATTGTTATTATATATCCATATAACCGTCATGATCGGCTTTCATCCCATTTCATCCACTTTAGGGCTTTCACCCCTTTTCATCCATAAACTTAGTGTATACTATCACATCACAATATCCTTTCAATACTGCAGGATATCTCGTGAAATGTAATCCATAGGTCATGGTATATTTCAAATACCTAAAGACCCTTGTTAATGCCACCCAATAATTATGGCCTGGATTACTCGTGAATCTACTAAGTTTATTCACAGCAAAAGCATTATCCAATCGAGTGTAGTTCATAATATACATTAGAATGCCAATTGCTCGCGAATATCCCAGTTTTGACACGCTTTCACCCTTATTTTGACCAAGTGTAGACTTGTGTCAATAGGATTTTTACTGAACTTTCCTCTAATACTTCAAACTTTTTAAATATTTTTCTCAACATAATGAGACTAGGAAAGTAAATTCATTCCGATGTTCTAGAGATTTTTATCTCTAGTACTACATCTGTCACACCCATGTCTTTCATGTTGTAATGCTTCGTAAGCATTTTCCCGACATTTAGCACCACTTCGTGACTATTGCCCATCACCAACATATTGTCTACATATAGGCACACAATCACATAGGTATCTGGTATATTTTTCACATAAACACACTTATCACATTCATATATTTTGAACTCGTTTGACAATATCGTTTTGTCAAACTTTTGGTGCCATTACTTAGGAGCTTGTTTTAATCCATATAAGGACT